AGCAAGTGATTTTATTCTACTGCATTCATGTGCCACCTGGGAGAGTCAAAGATCAAGACAAAACAAAATGTTCAGAAGGCAATAAGGAGAAACAATCATGTGGGAAGCAGACACCCTAATGTACCTAAAGTATCTGTCTATGATGACAAGCCGTAATAGGATAGGGGGTTTAGATGGTAGTTGAGACTGAGCAGTGAAAAGGAGAGATAAATTGATATGTTATCCCAATTAGCCCTCTGTCAGAAGAGTTAGCTCACACAACATTTCAGAAAAAGATAAACATATTCCGTACATATTCTACATGGTACCCAATTTACGTTATCTTTCTTCCTTTTTTTTCTTTTTATCAAACCATTATACCATCATTTGATTTTGGAAGCTGAACAGGATTAAGTCTGGCAAATACCTAGAAGAAAGAGGACTAAGAAAGCTATTGCTGCCAGTCAAGGCTGCCAGTACTGGGCTCAATTGGCCAATCACTGCTTTCTATGCTCTTTAAGTACTGGCTCTAAAGTGGACATCATCATATCTCTGATCTTTTCTATTTCGTCTTTTAAGAGCACAAACTTTCTCTTGCCCATAGTGCTCAACTACAGTCTTCTCAGCCAAAGAGAGCTGGTGCCGAGAAAGGCAATGCAGGATTATGTTCCAGTTCCAGCAAGGCAAAGCACATCAAGCTAGACATGGGAATGTCTAATGAAAAATCCATATTCTGATAAAATGAAATGTGGTAATTTAAAGTTATATAGAAGACCATGGTGGCCCAAGTATATTACCCATGATTGTGGATGCAGCTACACAGTAGAATTGATGCCACTTAATACCATGGCTGAATGCTATGGAATCCTGGAAGTTATAATTTTACAAAGTCTTTTGTCTTCTCTGCCAGAGGTGCTGGTGCCTATAAACATTGTTAACACTAGATAATGTTCAATATACATTAAAGATGAGAGAGGAAAAAATGGTGGGGGATTACTCAATACAATGATTTACTTATAGACAAATTACTAACTGATTTATAATAGATAAAAATGAATTTGGATTTGAAGCAATTAAACCACAGTTCAAAAATCTTTTGTGTTCAGCTGATGATCATATGACTGCAAAAATGTTTGAGACTGTTGCCATCATGTCATCAAGATATATCAGGGCATCTGATATTCAGGTTGATGGTCCAGAGAGCCTTGCGATTCACTGTGTTGAAGGCTTTTGCAAGGTCGCACACATTAGCACTCTGGACAGCTCCATGGACCACTCCAGGAAGGGGCTCTTACTGTTACTAATGCAGAGACTTTACATTTGATGAAGCACACTTAAGTCTATGAAAGATTATACTACCAACTTCTTTCTCTCAGGGAGCACCTACATTATAGAATTAATACAGTTTGATACCTCTTTAATTGCCATGGCTCAATTCTGTGGAATCCTGGGATTTCTGATTTGCTGAGGCATCAGCACTCTTTGGTAGAGAAGGCTAAAGACCTCGTAAAGCTATGATCCCAGAGCATTGAGCCATGGCAGTTAAAGTGGTGTCGAACTTCATTAATTCTATAGTGTAATATACCATTAGAGGCCTAATCCAATACCTAAACGATTACAGCAAGCTAGCTCATGACCAAATGTCACTGTGCGATTTCGACACATCCCTCGCTCCCTGCATAATTGTTCCAGATGTGCTCCCAATCCTGTTTCCCCTCCATGTTCATTGAGAGTAGTGGTTTGAGTGCTGGACTATAACACTGGAGATGATTCTCTGCTCAGTCATGAAAACCCACTGGGTGGTCTTGGGTGAATCACATACACTCAGCCTCAGAAAATCCTGTGATAGGGTCATCTTAGACTCACCATAAGTTGGAAATAGCTTGATGGCAAGCCAAAACCATGTCCATCCAGTAGCTAATGGAATCTCCCAAAAACTATTCTCTGTCCAGATTTTGAGGTTTACCGCTCATTGATATTCACTCTCTCACAAAATGCCTTGAAATAAGTAAAACTTAGAAGAGTTCCTTTTGAGGTCTACAGTTTCCAGAATCTCCCAATCAGGATGTGTAGACCTAGCATAGTGAGTTCAAGTTCAAACCACAGAAACTGCATCAGCTGTGTCCCCCACTCCCAGTTCAGCTAACAGTGTGATAGGGCTGCCTGCTTCACTATGGCTCTCTTAGCTTCACCCTGAAGCATTGGGATTAGCTGTATTCATAGCAATGTTGGCAGAATGCAGGGAGAAGAGCGCTGCCTCAGAGGGTAGTCAGAGGGAATTAAGCAGACGATGGCACATTAGCCACAGAGATTATTTTTCTACAAAAATCCTTCAGAAATGAGGTCCCTGTGGTCAGAAGAGCAAATGCTAGCTCAGCTATGGAAGTGTCTGTTCAGCTGCCATTGATCATGCTGAAACTGAAACCTAGCTTGTATCATTAGGTGGAGAGAAGGGACATGCCAACATCTTTCCATGGGCAACAGCATGTTAAGGACAACTACATTGCACCAAGTAGATATGGTGACATTTTAATTTTTAAATGATAATAATAATAATAACAGAACCACACATTATTTTATCTATTTAAACCCTGTCTTTCCTCTAGTTATCTGAAGATAGTGTTGATGGTTTCACTTTATCCTCACACAATCCTGTGATGTAGGCCAGGCTCAATGAGAATAACTGGCCCAAGTACACCAGGAACTTCCATGGCTAAGTGGGAACCAAAAAGCGCACCCCCAAGTCCCATTCCAGAATTTCAACCATTACACCACACTTTCATTATGGCCATCTGCTCAGTTCAGACTTTCCCAACTTTCCTTTTAAAACACAGAAGTTCCTTTTGGAAGTCAAAAACAGTAGACAATTTTATAGCAATAGGCAAATGGGGGATCCCCCTGAAACCTGCACCATTCCAACAACACCCCAAACCTGCCACTGTCAAATGTTCTGTCGCAACAAGAATTCCAGGGACCCTACTAGGAAACATGGTACACAAGAAGGATAGGTCTTGTTTTCGGGCATATGTTTACTGTGAATGCAATTCTGCCGCAAAAAAAGATGCACACTCCTGGCATGCCAGGTTTCCAAGTAGAACTATTATGATTTTTACAGCAGTGAAAACTTGTGGTTACCCATGGGAAACCACAAAAAATGGTAAGGACAGACAGCATATGGGCTATTCATTATCAGCCCCTGAACCAAAGCACTTGAGAACTGGGGAGAAGGGTACAATAACAGAAAGCAGTTTTTTGAATGACGGAAACCCAAGCAATCATGGTGAGAGCTAAAACATGTGGTGGAAACTCCTTCTTTGGAGGCTTTCAAACAGAGGCTGGATGGCCATATGTCAGGGATACTTTGATTGTGCTTTTCATGCATAGCAGGGGTTGGACTAGATGGCCCATGCTTGCAGTCTCTTCCAACTCTATGATTCTATGTAGTACCACTGTTTCATGTTTCTTTATTCCAGTGGTTCTCAACCTGTGGGTCCCCAGGTATTTTGACCTGCAATTCCCAGAAATCCAAGACAGTTTTCCAGATGTTAGGGTTTCTGGAAGTTGAAGGCCAAAACATCTGGGGACCCACAGGTTGAGAACTACTGTATATTCAATAGACGTTTTCCCGTGCTGTCTATCCTGGATTATGTTGTTACTATGAGGCCATAGTACAGCATTTCAGTCACCCTTCCACATTTACAGATTTAGTTTTACTGAGTTGTTTGTTAGTGGATTTAATTAAGGTGACCATAGAGTCATGCTTGAGAACCTAGATATTACTATAGATAACACTTATCTGGGCATTTTAGGTCCCCTAACACATTTCTATGGTCAATTCCGACAGACTATAAGGTCACACTGGGAGACCTAGAGATCGCTAGAGAGGTGTTCTCTTAGGCAGAAAAAAACCCATTCTTTTATTAATGATTTCTCCACTTTTATGGAATTCCTGCATCTCTAATCCCCGTAAAAGTGGAGGGCCTACTGTAGTTTCTTTCACTTAAAATCCAAACACAAAACAGCCACACAAAACAGTCAAGGTCATAGTGAGTGCAAAGAAAGCCACTGATGCAACTGAGAAGATGCTGGATTTTTTTGGGCAGTTATGCCATAAAGTAGGGTATTAATTTGCCAAGTTCCATAGCCTTCTTCTATCTTAATTTTTCACCTCTGAAGATTTTTAAGTTATGAAGGCAAAAAAAATCATCCTGCTCTCCCTCTCTGCCAAAACAAAAAGATGAACCCATCTAAGATTATAAGGTGATCAGATTGTAAGCTTTACTTGCTATCTTACATTTCCATTTAGCTTGGTTTCATCATTTTTAACCATCAGATAGCTGCTAAAAATGCACTCTCTGCTGAGCTCTTATTAACACTGAATTTAAAACATTCTCCTGTTCCACTTTTAAGTATCTTATCAGTTTTATTTCTGATATTATTTTGAATGCCTGCATTTTATTGTATTCATGGTTTTATTTAGATTGGCCACTGGCAGTTTTGCCTGGGAAACTTTGAGATTGTGGCTCAAAGATGTAATTTTTCAGAACACTTTAAAATATTGTAATTCACTCTCACCACTCACTGAATGGAGAGCCATTCAGACACACACACACACACACACACACAATCTTTCTGTAAATATACAAAGGATGGCATGTAATGGAAACCAAAACCAAAACACATAAAAACCAATAAAAATAACTTAAAACAACAATAAACCAATCAAATCATAATTATGCAGGAATGGAATTTGTGCACACTGCAAAAATCATGGAAGCCATGAAATGACTCAGGTATGAGGCAATCTCAATATGCACCATTTCAGTTTTCTTTCCTCATTTGAGAATCTTCTCATCTTATCCCTCCTATTATGATGTCATTCTGCTATCACTTATTACATAGGTAGTTGAGAAAGTTCTTTTCCATGGAGGCTGTAGCTGGGATGGTCACTCATTGAATGAACAAGTCATAAGGCTAAGTGAAATAGCTTCTGAAGGATCCCAGCAATGGCTCATCACAAGATGGCCAAGGAATCTCATTTTATGGACCACAGACATGGCTCTAGAGGGGCCGCTGCAGCCTCTACTTCAGGATCATCTGAGAAATACAAGGACTATGCTGCCATTGTCATAGATACTGGCACTGGCTTTACCAAGAGTGGCCTTGCAGGAGATGAAAAGCCAAGATCCATTGTGCCAAGTATAGTGGGGGTTCCCAGGTACAAAACAAAGGAAAGTCCTTTGTACTACATTGGGAGGAGCATCCCACAACAACGTTCAGAGGTAAGCACACATGTGGTGATGACACACGGCGTGGTAACAGATTGGGATGCCTTAGAAATGCTGTGGCACCATGTTTTCTACACAGAGCTCAGCGTGTGCCCTGAAGAGCTAGCAGTGCTAGTCACAGATGCCCCCTTGAGCCCAACCACTAACCGTGAAAAAATGGCTGAATTGCTCTTTGAGAACTTTGAAGTGCCAGCCATGGTGGTTGCCCATCAGTCTCTTTTGTCTGTGTATTCCTATGGGCGCACAGGTGGGCTTGTGATTGGGTCTGGCTATGGGACATCCTATACCGCTCCTGTTGATGATGGATACATCATACCTCATGCCACCTACCGGCTGGACATAGCAGGAAAAGCCCTGACAGACTACCTGGCCAAACTGATGGGGGAATCTGGAAACCCTTTTCACAAAGACGAAATGGATGTAGTGTGTCAGATCAAAGAGAAGTGCTGTTATATCCCAGAGGACTATGAGTCTGAACTGAACGCAGATGAGAAGAAATATCTCATGGACTACACTCTTCCTGACAAGCAGGTCATTTCCATTGGCAGTGAACGCTTTCGTTGCCCTGAAGTCCTTTTCAATCCTACTATGCTGGGCTTCCCAGAGGTGGGGCTTCATATCCAGGCCATAAACGGTGTCAGAAAATGTAAAGCAGAGAGGCAGGCAGATCTGATTTCCAATGTTCTGCTGGCTGGTGGCACCACCATGCTCCGTGGCTTCTCTGACCGAATTAAAAGGGAACTGCAGAAACTAGAGCCAGCAAGGCAGGTGGGCATCTTGGCTTCGCCCAACCGCACCTTCTCTGCCTGGCTGGGGGGTTCCATTGTGGCCTCACTCAACGCTTTCCAGAATGTGTGGATCAGCCGGCAAACCTACATTGAGAAGGGGCCATTTGTTGTCCACCGGCATTGCTTCTAATTTGGGAGGATGCTGATGAGGGCACGTTCAGGGGAGAGGTGCGTTCAAGGGAAATCACCTCCACAACATGCTATTGTTGAATGTCTTCCTAAGTCTGGCTTCTAAGTCAATTCTATAATTTCTTTTGGAGATCAGGAACGAGTGTCACTAAAATATTATTTCCTAGTCTGGCAACTTCTGAATGTGTTAGCTATAATGCCCATCAATGGCCAATGCCCTTCCCATCTAAGTGATTGTACTTGCAATCCAATACATCTGAAGGGCACAATGTTGGAGAAGGCAGCCGTCTCTATATTCCAACATGTAGGAAATATTTGAGAGTCTCAAATATGGCATGTAAAACATGCATTTCACTACAGAAGAATGGTACGATGTTCATCATACACACAATTATATAGGCTGCCTCATATGAACCTACACATACCTCTCATGACTCCTACTACACAATTATTTTGCTTAGATCTCCCATTCCCCCAATGATAGAATTCAGAGACTATCATGTCACTCCAATCTGCACTTCTTACTCAAATCTTTCCCTAACATCCATGGACACTTCACCCATATATCCTGTACCGATTTCACTTTGTCATTTGACCCTTCAGATTTGAGGCTATCACTCCCCACAATCCATTACAACTGGCTAAACCCAGATGTCGCTGATGGAAACTACAATATCTGAAGGGTCCAAGGGTCCTCATTTCTGGGCTACAGGACTGTTGCCATGAGAGCATGAGAAGAAGCAGAAGTAGTGTCCAAAGTCTCCCCCACCTTCCTTATTTCTGCATGTAACCATCTCTATTATTTGCACCCCCTAAACAACATTAAAGCATTCATAGCCATCTCCTAATCAGTGTAGACCAGCTATCCAGTTGAAAGCATGCCTTGAGTAATGAGGGGAGGCAGGAGTAATCCGATCATGTCTCTTGTCGATGGTGGTACAATGCCAGAAACTTCAGAGATGGTCTTTCTCCCCAAAGAACCAGACACTAATTCTGCTTCTTTTGCCCTGTCTCCATAACAATCTATGTAATTATTGCTGGCTGACTATTTGTTGCCATGGCAAATTTAAATGCACACTGATCCTCATGTGTTGTACTATGAGTCATTGGCAGAGCTGCGAGTTACCCAGCTGGGTCTGAGCAAGCCGTCTCTTGTGTAGGAAAGAGGCTGATCAGGAAAGAGGCTGATCAGCTGTGGCTATTCACAGGGGATTGCCTGCCTTCATCAAAATTAATACAGAGTGTCTGGAGAAGGAATGGGTGACTTGTGGGCTGTCAGATCTTACGAGATTGCAAATCCCATTATCATTCCCCACTTTCTATAGCTAATAAGAGTTGCAACCTGGGCAGCCTGAAGTTTCCCCCACCAACATCCCAATATGCTGAGTCCCTTCTATAGGACAGTAGCACTGGTGGCTTCAGATTGGTGTTCAGTCAATACATTCTCTTAGTTATATTCTATTTATTTACCTTATTTATATCCTGCCTTTCTCTATCCTGAGGGGGACTCAAGGCGACTTACAATGGCACCTCCATGGTTCCTTAAAACATACCACATCCATCAAAACATAAGTTAAACATGAAAACATAATAAGCATAATAGAATACATTTCAATGAATCACGTCATTCAGAGTCATAGTCTAAAGGCCAATCCATAGTCAAATTGCACATATTCCATATTCTAGCCTTTAAAGGAGCTACCCAAAAGTGCTGAAATCTATGCTCAAAATTATGCATCCAAATTAAAAACCCTGAGCAGATTCATGGAAATCACCAGCTCCCAGTATGATGATGTTGTTTTTGTTGCTGTTACTGTTATATTTATTGACATCCCAGTTTTTCTCTCTTAAAAGAGACTCATAGTGGCTGGCTGACAACGCTAAAAATAATTCAACATGTAATTTAAAACCTGAAACACTAAAATAGAATTAAATACAGAACTATTACAAATAAATAGTAAAAAAAATCATTAAAATAACACTGGCCACCACACATTTGGGTACATCAGATGTTAGACCTGTTCCTGGGTATATGTAAATTGATGATTCCAAAAATGGCACCTGTTTCCCCCTATCAGCTCTAGTTTTTGAAATACAGAGCATGTGCCATATATCATCTTCATCTGTTGCACCACAAAAAACCTCAGGAACAGTCCTAAAAACCAATACTCTAAGATTTTTTGTTGGGCTATGAATCAAAAGCCTATTAAAATACATAAAACAATCCAAGCTCCTGGAATAGGATGCTCAACATGCAAGACGGGACCAAGCATGGTGATGTCCTCTCTTCCTAACTTGGCCAGTGAGTTAGTTTTCCTGGGTGTCCCAAAGGGCCTACAGACTCATCCACTATAAGAAAAGTTGTGCTAATAAAGGTTATCCCCTTTTTTCTTCAGTGATAGCTTCTTCCGTTCCTTCACTACCACCACCCGGTGAACATAAGAAGAGAATGGCAGTCCAAAAATGGATAGTTCATAGCTGACAGCAAAGACATTGGGAAAGGAAAGCTGCCAGGAACAATCACAATGTATAGGAGGGAGGGCTGTAGTGTTAAACCTGTTCCATAAAAATCTCATGGCATATTTGGAAGCAGAGGATTATTCTCAAACTAGAGCACAGGTGTTTTCAGGATAATTGAGATAATCCTGCAATGATTGAGGCCACCTATGGCATACATACCACACTGATCCCTCTGTCCAAACACATTAGTTGGACTTAGAACCATTATACCATAATGAACACACCCAATCTTGTTGGAGAGGCTAACCAAGGATAGCACTGGTTAATGCATGGACAGGACACATCCAGGTAGTATAGCCCCTCTTTAGGGCTGCTGCCTAAATACTGAAGAATTGCTATTGTCAATCTACTGGACAAAAATGGGTGAGAAGAACCAATATCTGTGTTGATATAAGGCAGTTTCCTATGTTCTACAAACCTCTTCAGCCTCCCTTAGATGTGATGTAGAAGCCTCTTCCATTCTGAAAAGGAAAAGCTGTCCTTCCTTCTTATGTAGTTAAAGTACTTCATAGCCCATGAGCTCCTATTTTGTCTACTCTCCAAGGCAGAAGATGGTGGCACACATTCTGGTTAATGGAGCAGAAGGCCTAGCAATCACTGGTAGGCAAAGACCACAGTGAGAAACAGAGCCATCAGTAAAATAGTTTTTTGAGCCGCCATGCATTGAGCCCCTGTACATCCTGAGTCTGGCAAGCAAACATTGGAGCATACACACAGCAGCAGTTGACAAGCAAGTGATGACTCAGGAATTTTTTTGTTAGAGGGATAGCCTGAGGCCCCTTTTACGCTGCCATATAAAATCCAGATTATCAACTTCGAACTGGATTATATGGCAGTGTAAACTCATATAATCCAGTTCAAAGCAGATAATGTGGATTTTCTGCTTTGAAAATCTGGATTATATGGCAGTGTAGAAAGGGGCTTGAGCCTATGGGTGGACAGTGCCCTATTTAATTGGCCATAGCAGACTAGTCTTCATTGGACTGGGTTACGTTCTATTTTGAGTATCCTAAGAAACAGAACACCCAGACGTAGGGCATGTCATTCTAGGAACTTCCTCAACAGAATTTACATAGGAAACAACTGAAGGGTCTGAAGAACAGCATGCACATCATCCAAGACTGAACTTGGCTGACCCCCATCAGTGCATATGCAATAACCCCCTTATATTCGCAATAATTCTATAAATTAGACATCTTGTAAATATTGAGCCATGTCTGCCTCCTGCTGATTAATTGCAAATTATATTTGAGGATACCACACAGTGCAAAGATTAATAACTGCGTGTCTTGCTGTTTTTAGGCTATATGATTAAACTCTGGATTAGAAACAGCATTACAGTCCCATGCTAATTCCCCCATGTTTCCCCAGCAGTTAATTATAGACCTTGGTGGCCAGCAGTCAGTGGGATCATAGCTCCCGCCTGTGCAAATGGAGCCCCTCTCAGCATTGGCTGAAATGCATCCCACCATTTAGCTAGAGTGCTGGCTTTTCAGAGTATGCTAGTCAGGGACTAGCATCTCACTTAAAACAAGCTGCCATCAGTCATGAACACTTTGAACCCAGCACATTCTTTCAGTTGGGATGTGCAATATTTTCTAAGGGTTTGTGTACATCAAGGGTCCTCAAACTTCTTAAGCAGAGGGCCAGTTCACGGTCCCTGAGATTGTTGGAGGGGGCAGACTATAGTTTGAAAAAAACATGAATGAATTCCTATGAACACTGCACATATTTTATTTGTAGTACAAAAAATGAAAGAACTATAGAATAATTAAAATGAAGTATTTCAGTATTTCAAAGGGCAGTGTGGACCTGTTTTTGGCTAATGAGATAGCCAAGTTAATTAGGATTGTTGTTGTGTGCCTTCAAGTTGTTTCGGATTTAGGGCGACCCTAAGTCTAAAATTTCGGGCAGGGGCAGGTAAAGATATGAGGGATGCATGGCTCAAGAGCAGTATTTGTGAAAAAGATCCTGGAGTCCTTGTGGACAACAAGTTATACATGAGCCAACAATGTGATGTGGCAGCAAAAAAAGCAAGATATTCCAATTAGGGAGAAAAAAATGAAATGAAAAGATACAGAATGGTCAGGCCAGACCTGGAATACTGTGTCCAATTCTGGGCACCACAATTGAAGAGAGATGTTGACAAGCTGGAATGTGTCCAGAGGAGAGCGACTAAAATGCTCAAGGGTCTGGAGAACCAGCCCTATGAGGAGTGGCTTAAAGAGCTGGGCATGTTTAGCCTGAAGAAGAGAAGGCTGAGAGGAGATATGATAGCCATGTATAAGTATGTGAGAGGAAGTCATAGGGAGGAGGAAGCAAGCTTGTTTTCTGCTGCCCTGGAGACTAGGATGCAGACAATTGGTTCAAACTACAAGAAAGGATATTCCACCTGAACATTAGGAAGAAAATCCTGACTGCAAGAGCTGTTCAGCTGTGGAACTCTTTGCCCCAGAGTGTGATTGAGGCTCCTTCTTTGGA